GTCATTTGACTCCCACTACCAAGATGCTTGGCGACTATTTTCTTTCTTATTTAAATTTGTATTCCCTCATGAGAATAGTAAGACAATTGGTACTAATTAACTGAACAAAAGAAAGTGTGCAAGGGAGTCTGGTAGTAGAGGTCAATGACGCCATCATGGAAACGTCCTATTATCGTATTTTTAACATAACTTCTAATTAGGTTACCAACTATTTCATGGTCTCAGGAAAATCACTATATACTTGTATATACCTATATGAAAAAACGTTTTGGTCGGAGGTCTGAAATCTGAGACAAGTACGAGCTGCAAATGTAATATATTTATAGCAGAACAGCGTAGTTTCCTTTTTCATAATACACTCAACAAAATTACTCGATTCTGATTGGACAAGAGGAGTACAATTATGTGCCAAATTGTGCTCTGTAGAGTCCCAATAGCCCACTTCCGAGATATGCTTCACTTGTGCTTTGTGCTTCACGCACGAAGGTTTCAGTATGAGGCTACGTGCTAAATGCTCAGTCATTCGTGACATGCGGTAAGAATTAATTTAATTTAGCACGGAGCCTCATACTGAAACCTTTGTGCGTGACAAACGAAGCCTATCTCGGAGGTGAGCTATTAAGTTGCTCAATTTTGTTGAGTGTATTATAAACAAAATACCGCACAATCTTCTCGTACAATTCGGAATTTATAGATACTCGTGATGTTTTGAAAGTTCTCAAATTGAACTCGCCTAAAAGGCTCGTCCAATTTTGAAAACTTTCAAAACATCACTCATACCTATGAATTCCGAATCGTACTCGAGATCGTGCGATTTCCTAGACAAATTTGAATATGAAGCATGACGTTTGAGTTAGACGTGACTTTTCGAATTTTAGCCAAAAAACATAAAAGCACAAAAGTTCCCTTTAGTCTCATATCACCCATTATTTCAGATTTCGAATCGTCAACGTTTTTTGAAATAGGTGTATACTCTGATCATTGCTTACAACTTATTATGATTCTGATTCTTATATCAGTTGAAACACTATAGTAAAACTAACAAGGTAACCAGAAACTATCTTAGAACATATTGTTGCGCAGTGAGCTCGAACCCAACTTCAGTCCAAAAAAATATTTGGGCACGACTACTGACTTACTCCCTATTTGGAAGGAGGGAGTTTAATTCAAATATTCAATCCCTTATATAATAGAGGTTTTGCACCRTCACATCCTCACGCCTATGATACACCTTGGGTTGCCTGTGGTTAGATGGCAGAACAATAGAATCCCTTTGCTCTCGGGAATTGAATTATTTCTCATGTAAGACGATTGTATTGTTCCTGCCATCTAACATGGCTGCCATCACGTGATGGTGTAAAATCTCTGTAGACCCCTTGCAGCACTTTAGAATGCAGTTGATTTAGAGGGCAAAACAATAGGTTTACAATTCTCGGGAGATTGAAATTCTTTCCAAATTGGGCTCCTTTGACGTTGCATGCAAGGGGTCTATTTTACTATTCAACCTGAGGAGGAGGAGGGGAGGGGGGGAGGGGGGATGAAGGGCGGAGATAACGAGCAGTACAGTAACGACTCCACCATCTTGGTCTATTGATTCTCCATTGCCATATCCGACGATCCAGTCTTGCGCTTATTCATTCTAAGTTTCACCTCCATCGCGATGTACGTCAAGCAAACGAGACCAAGATAACCAAACCATAGTGCCCAGGCTACTGTTGGCATCACGGCCAAGAACACACCAAGAGAAATATTAATGAGGGCTAGTATCAGGGCTGCTCGGCCAGCCAGCTTGTGGTACCATTCCCAGATGATACGTTTAATGGTTCTAGAACCATCGGGAAATTTATGGGGACGGCTAAAAGTAGGAGTGTAATTGTTAGTGATATTTTTTAAAGATTAATTGATTAGGAGAAAATGAGAAGATTTGGCACTTTCGGCCAAAAGCGGAGCGAGATCGGAAATGATGTAATACTATTACTTATAGTCTTATTAAGACTATTCAGTATTAATTAGTCAAATAGCTAAATTGCTAAGTAGCTCAAAAATATGATGATAATCGAGAAAGTTTTTTTTTACTTTATACTTACAATAAGGCATTTAGTGGCTGGAGTAAACCAACAATCATCACAACCAAGCCAATGATTGAATGCGCAAACTTGAGGTGACCAAAGGGGACCGATACGATGCCACACGCAAGACCAGCAATAGTGAACAGTAGGCCTACAACCTATAGACAAACACATACGCTACGTCAGTTCAATTGTACTTATTTAAGCCTGAGTTAACCCTGGTGCATTCTGGTCTAGCTTGGGTACAAATGCACCGGACAAACTGCGCCTGTATCATAAAATAAAAAGTTAGACTACAATGGGCCGTTTGTTGCATGATGGCGTCATTTTACTACCACTACCAAAATGCTTTGCGAATTTTCTTTCTTATTCA